ACTTTACCGGGCAAAACGGATTTGAATTCTTTAAAGGCATACACTTTCAATTTCAACATGTGTTAAATCGATCCTCTCAACTTTGCAAAACATATAAAATTACAAGGCATTTCAACCCAAATGTCCAAAACTATTGCACAATAACATATTGAGTAATCCAAAGTATATTAAAATATGTAAGAATAACATAAAAGTTAAACATAAAAGTATAAAAAAAATTTTTTTTTTCAACAGTACAAAATTATAAAACATATCTAAATAGCATAGGTATTTTGGTGTTCATTATTTGATTATGCAAAATGACTGTAATCAACCTTTTCACTGCTCATTTAGATGTAAACACTTATAACCTAGAAATTTTCACATATATTGTATCAAAAAGTGTCCAATTCCCTAACTAATGTAGCAAATAATGACTCTAATAAAGAGATAAAAATATCCTGTTCTAAGTTATAAAATAAACAAGAGCTATTATGTTGCAACATGGGAAGATATACTTAAAAGTTCTTGTTATCCTCTATAGGAATACAATTCTATTCTCATTTTGAAGTATACAGATTATCTGTATTAAAGGTTTATCTTTGACATACAATAATACAGGCTATCTGGTCGTAACCCATATATAAAGGGCAAATGATCAATCCATATTATTAGTCTAACAGCTATTTCTCTATAATATATTGGCTAACTCTAATTCTGCGTTTAGACCTACACGGGCACTCCAACATGTAGATGACTTGTTTCGTGTTGCACGTAATACAGTCTTTAATGTCGAATACTTCCTTTGTGACCGAAGACTGGAAGGTTGTACAATTCTTTCCTTTAGAGCTTAATTTACATATGTTGCAATTTCCACATTTATAATATCCCTTCTTTCCAGTTAAAAAGTGGTTGCCCTTAATTGGTTTAATATAACTATGCACCAATTTATCTCGTAAAGTAGGTGCTCCCCTAAAAATTACCTTCGGTTGTAACACTGGCATTTATTACGTCAGGACCCGATATTGGCTTCATTTTTACCTATACAACCGAAGGTAATTTTTAGGGGAGCACCTACTTTACGAGATAAAGTTTGTCGGGACTACTAGAATCAGCAGCCGCAAAGATTCTCCCACATGGTCCTTAGGAATAAGTACCATTTCTTTTATATTGTGAGAGTTCCTATTTAGGGGGGGATTTGTTTGTTATACCGGGGCAATAAATGTTATAGAGTTACACTATATCTCTTTCTCCTTTTTTGCCTTAGGAATTTTCAAGCATTCTGAGTTTCCATTTACCATCACAGATTTTGGACTCTCCCCAATAGGATCTTACATGACTTTTGGACTTTTCAGTGACATATTTTTATATACTTTCACATATATTTTAATCTGTATTTTTTTCTTAATATAGCTCTTTAATGTAGAGTTTAGATTTTTATTTTTATATACAGGGAGTGCAGAATTATTAGGCAAGTTGTATTTTTGAGGATTAATTTTATTATTGAACAACAACCATGTTCTCAATGAACCCAAAAAACTCATTAATATCAAAGCTGAATATTTTTGGAAGTAGTTTTTAGTTTGTTTTTAGTTATAGCTATGTTAGGGGGATATCTGTGTGTGCAGGTGACTATTACTGTGCATAATTATTAGGCAACTTAACAAAAAACAAATATATACCCATTTCAATTATTTATTATTACCAGTGAAACCAATATAACATCTCAACATTCACAAATATACATTTCTGACATTCAAAAACAAAACAAAAACAAATCAGTGACCAATATAGCCACCTTTCTTTGCAAGGACACTCAAAAGCCTGGCATCCATGGATTCTGTCAGTGTTTTGATCTGTTCACCATCAACATTGCGTGCAGCAGCAACCACAGCCTCCCAGACACTGTTCAGAGAGGTGTACTGTTTTCCCTCCTTGTAAATCTCACATTTGATGATGGACCACAGGTTCTCAATGGGGTTCAGATCAGGTGAACAAGGAGGCCATGTCATTAGATTTTCTTCTTTTATACCCTTTCTTGCCAGCCACGCTGTGGAGTACTTGGACGCGTGTGATGGAGCATTGTCCTGCACATCATGTTTTTCATGAAGGAAGGATGCAGACTTCTTCCTGTACCACTGCTTGAAGAAGGTGTCTTCCAGGAACTGGCAGTAGGACTGGGAGTTGAGCTTGACTCCATCCTCAACCCGAAAAGGCCCCACAAGCTCATCTTTGATGATACCAGCCCAAACCAGTACTCCACCTCCACCTTGCTGGCGTCTGAGTCGGACTGGAGCTCTCTGCCCTTTACCAATCCAGCCACGGGCCCATCCATCTGGCCCATCAAGACTCACTCTCATTTCATCAGTCCATAAAACCTTAGAAAAATCAGTCTTGAGATATTTCTTGGCCCAGTCTTGACGTTTCAGCTTGTGTGTCTTGTTCAGTGGTGGTCGTCTTTCAGCCTTTCTTACCTTGGCCATGTCTCTGAGTATTGCACACCTTGTGCTTTTGGGCACTCCAGTGATGTTGCAGCTCTGAAATATGGCCAAACTGGTGGCAAGTGGCATCGTGGCAGCTGCACGCTTGACTTTTCTCAGTTCATGGGCAGTTATTTTGCGCCTTGGTTTTTCCACACGCTTCTTGCGACCCTGTTGACTATTTTGAATGAAACGCTTGATTGTTCGATGATCACGCTTCAGAAGCTTTGCAATTTTAAGAGTGCTGCATCCCTCTGCAAGATATCTCACTATTTTTGACTTTTCTGAGCCTGTCAAGTCCTTCTTTTGACCCATTTTGCCAAAGGAAAGGAAGTTGCCTAATAATTATGCACACCTGATATAGGGTGTTGATGTCATTAGACCACACCCCTTCTCATTACAGAGATGCACATCACCTAATATGCTTAATTGGTAGTAGGCTTTCGAGCCTATACAGCTTGGAGTAAGACAACATGCATAAAGAGGATGATGTGGTCAAAATACTCATTTGCCTAATAATTCTGCACTCCCTGTATATGCATCCTTGTTATAATTTTAAGGGGATTATCTTCTAAGCGCTGACAATATTTTTACCATCTTCAACAAGTTACATAGCTCTTTCAGCACTCGTGACATAAAAGGGGTACCTTGGTTTGTAAGTACTTCTCTAGGTATTCCAACCCAGCTGAACATAAACATTAACTCTCTGGCAATGGTTTTAGCTGAGGTATTTCTTGAAGGTATAGTTTCGGGATAGCGGGTAGCATAATTAGTACTACCAATATTGGTGCCCCCTAGTGGATTTAAGTAAAGGACCAACCAGGTTCATAGCAATTCTTTCAAATGGGACTTCTATGATGGGATTACGGAATGCCTTTCTTTGGCATTCTGGGTATGACTTGCAAAATCGCTCTATAGCAGAGTAGATTCCTGGCCAGTAAAATCTTCTTAGTACTCTCTCCCTGGTTTTTTTAATCCCAAGATGCCCCCCTAATACATGGCTGTGAACTAGTTTTAAGACTAGGTTCCTGTGAGATTGAGGTACCAGTAATTGCTCAACATCTTCAACCCCCCTCCTCTCTACTCGGTAAAGTAAATTATTTCTTTCTGCAAAATAGGGAAGGGACAATTGGGTTTCTGAGTTAACAGGAGTACCTTCCAATACCTGAACATGGTTATGGGCAGCTACCAAGGTTTGATCCTCCCATTGGGCAGCCCGAAAATTTCCTGAACTAATACCTAGATGATGGAACTCCACCTCTTCCCTTAGATTTTCTACTTGGGAGGAATCACTTTCATTGTGTTCCCCTTCCTCACCCAAACATACTACAGTGGGTTCATTTTCACTATACTGCTCCAAATCAATCGTAGAAAAAGGGAAAACATTCTCTAAACACACTGTTTCTGCCTCTACCTCTGTACGCTTATCCTGTTTTATTGCAGTATCTTCCCAAATTTTCCAAAAGAGGGCAAAATCACGCCCCAATACAGCATCATAAGGCAATGATGGTACCACCCCAACTCTATGTTTTATCCCCCCTACCGCGGTAGCAAATTCCACCTCGGCTGTGGGATACGTGTGGGTGTCACCATGTATGCATATTATATCCAACACGTGAATTTTATCTACTTGCTCACTCTGAAGTAAAGATCTCTTTACCAATGAAACCTCACTCCCAGAATCTAAGAGTGCTTGCACACTCCTCCCCTCCATATTTACAGATTTGACATGGTTAATACCACCAGTACTTGTAAAAGCAGACAGTTGTGTGTATACCAACAATGCACCATGTTTCTCCCCCATCCCCAAATTACATTTCATAGGTTCATCATTCTGTGGACAGTTACATGCAATATGTCCAATCTCTTGACATCTATAACACTTTATCTGTCTCTCAGGGTGGCCTTGTGGCCGGGTTGGGAACCTGGGCACCCAATTTTCCATGTAGTCAGTCTATCTATGGGTCTGTACAAAATCTTTTTTCCCTCTGTTTTTTTAAATCCTCCAGAATTCTTTGCAGGTTTCCTGTTACTTTGCAATTCGGCGTTGAGGTAAGGCTCTTTACTCTGAGTTTCGTTAGCAAACCGGTATCTCTCTGTCAAGTTCATTTCTTCTGGGTCCTTTGGATCCGCTTGACTGACCCATTTCCGTAGCGCTATCGGCAGACTCCCTAGAAAGCGATCCATAACCACCTTTTCAATGATTACTGCAGCAGAGTTGATTTCTGGCTGTAGTCACTTCTGGGCAAATCTCAAGAGGTCATACATTTGTGACCTAGTAGATTTCTCTGTATCATAAACCCATGCATTATATCTTTGGGCTCGCACTGCAGGCATAACTCCAAGCCGTGTTAGTATTTCTGCTTTCAATCGGTCATAGTCTTGTGCTTGGCTGAGAGGCAAATCATTATATGCTTTTTGGGATTCTCCACTGAGGCAAGGGGCTAATAATCCTGCCCACTGACCTGGAGGCCATCCTTCTCGGGTAGCAATCCTTTCAAAGGTTGTCAAGTAAGCCTCCATGTCGTCAACCTCACTCACTTTATGTAAAAAGTCAGTAACTCTAATCCGGCACCCCCTATCCATAGTAGGGGTAGTCACACTTGACAGTATGGTTTGTTGCAAAGCACTTGTTAGTTTTACTCTGTCTTCCCGCTGTGTTTCCATAACGCAGTCTATTTGTGTGGCCAATAAGCGGTTTGTCTCCTGTTGGGCTGCAACAGCCTGTCGGTGTGACTCCATGAGGCTACTGATCTGAGCCACTGTTACACGGTTTGTGTCTTGCTGGGTAGTAGTGGCCTGTACCAAGGCTTTTACTAACTCTTCCATCTTGCTTTTTTTTTTTTTCACTGCCACTTGGTAAATACCACACATCGTTTGCAGAGTCACAGTATCTTAAGCTTCTATTCCCACAGACTGTATAAATGTGCTTTAGATGCCCGCATTCCCCACCATCTTGTGACCTTTATGGGCAAAGCAACACAGTCCTCAAGGGTAACAGGTATAGAACAACAGTCTCTTATGCGAAAAAGGTGTGTTTTTTTTTACATTGTGCACAAAAATCCATGCAGTAATCAGTGCACTAAACATAAAGTAATGTCCCTTACTAAACCAGGGTAATAATCTACATAAATCAACAAAATAAACATTGGTTTCACCAACCTTTAGCACTTTTTCTGGTGCTGCTCTGCACAGACCTGCTCTCTCTGCAGGTCAGATTGTATCTCTCCCCTTTCTGCTCTGAGACCTGCTAATTAAAGCCTCAGCAGTTGCTAATTGAGCAGGTAAATGAGTACAGGCTATAGAGGATTCTGGGTTCTAAATACCTTCCTTCTATTACCCTCCCATAGACTCTGTCACAATATATGTGTATATAGCTCAAAGTGCACTTATAATGCAATCATATAAATATGCATTTTATATGTATAATGTATTATAAAATGCTTGAATTATTTTATAATGCATTATACATATATAATATATGTATAATATATTTATTTGTATATATTTTACCTTTTTTTTCCTTTTTGAGTCTGGGGCAGTGGCGTACTAAGGGGGGGGCGGGGGGGGGCGGGGGGTGCGGTCCGCCCCGGGTGCCACCAGGTTGGGGGGTGCCACCAGGGTGGGGGGTGCCATGACCAGCCCCGCCGCCCCCCCCCCCATGCTGCAGCCGCCCGAGCGCTCTGTGAAGAGCCTCAGGCGGCTGCAGCTTTGCCCGGGCGGTGCTTCCATGAGGGCGGACCGCACCGCCCGGGCGCAGCCTGAGGAGAGGCTGACAGGAGGGAGCGCTCCTGTCAGCTCCCTCACTGCAGCATGGTCCGACGGGTACAGAGAGCAGCTGTCTCCTGTACCCGGCCGGACTAACAGGAAGGGAACACTGAGTGTGCACTTCCTGTTAGTCCAGCCGGGTACAGGAAACAAAAGCTCCCTGTACCCGCGGACTATACAGGGCTCGGCCACGCTACAGGGAGATAGGAGGGAGAAAGAGAGGGGTGAGAGAAGGTGGAGAGAGAGAAATAAGGGTGAGAGAGAGAAAATAGAAAAGGTGAGAGAGGGGTGAGAAAAAGAAATAAGAGGGGGTGAGAAAGAGAGATAAGGGGGGGTGAGAAAGAGAAATAAGGGGGGGTGAGAGAGAAATAAGGGGGGGTGAGAAAGAGAAATTGGGAGGAGGAGAAGGAAATTGGAGCGGGAGGAGAGATTGACATTCATCACATACACACAATGCACCCCTTGCACACAGAAAAACACACAGACACACATACACAAGCAATGCAACCGTTACACACAATGCATCCCTTACACACACAGAAACACACAATGCATTCATTACACACACTCAATGCACCCCTTACACACATTCAATGCATCCCATACATACACAGAAACACACCTTGCAGTCCTTACACATACAAACACAATTTCACACAATGCATTCCTTACACACATATCAGGACATCCCCTACACACTCCACCCCCTGTGAACAAACTCATTGGTGGAACATGAAGGTGGACCCTGGGACCCAGACCTTGAGCTGTGTAAAGGACCCCCAAAAAATGGAGCTGCTTCCCGTTCTCCCAGAACATTGATTTTTGTGACCACAGTTACAAACCGCCTCCAGAGAGCCTGTTCTGCACCAGACCAGTGGAGCCAGACTGCAGCTAGAGCCCATCATCATCCTCATCTGGTTGTAAGTAGGCAATCTAGTATATTATTCGTGGCACTAAGCTCTAATTTACCTCACATTAAAGAAACACTATAGTCCCCAGAACCACTTCAGCTTAATGTAGTGGTTCTGGTGTCTATAGCCTGTCCCTGCAGGCCTTTTAATGTAAACACGGCGGCACTGCAGCACTGGCGTTAGTTAACATGGCAAATCATATGGCTGGGGCATTGTGATGTCACATGGGGGGCGGCAAACTTTACTTTTGCCTTGGGCGGCAAAAATCCTTGTACCGGCCCTGGCTGGAGGGGGCTGTGTGAGCTGTGGCCGCACAGTGTCCCATGGTAGTTAGGGTGCCGTGCGGCCAGTACAGCTCACTCAAGCAAACAGCTGATAAACTGGCCGCACGGAGGAAATGTGTATGTGTGACTGTCTGCCTGTGACTGTGTGTGACTGTCTGCCTGTAACTGAGTGTGTGACTGTCTGTCTGTAACTGAGTGTGTGACTGTGTCTGTAACTGAGTGTGTGCCTGTCTGCCTGTAAATGTGTGTGTGGGGCTGCAGGGATTTTGTAGAAGGGGGTGGGGGTTTTGTATTGGGACAGGAGTCTTTATAAGGGGGGATAAGCAGGAGATTTGTGGAAGGGGGTTGCGGGGGTTTTGTAGATGGGGCAGTACAGGATTTGTAGAAGGGGCAGGACAGAGGTTTTGTAGGAGGGGCAGGGCAGGACAAGGGTTTTGTAGGAGGGGCTGACAGCGGTTTTGCAAAGTTTACAAATTGTAAAAATAAAAGAAATAAAACCTTTGGGGAGGGGGGAGGGGGGGGGTTCCAAGCACAGGATCCGCCCCGGGTGCCAAATGCTCTAGGTACGCCCCTGGTCTGGGGGACTGCCTGACAGCTCAGGCAGTCCCCCTGCTGGCAGCTCCATAGACTCCTATTGCAGCCATGTGATGATGGTGATCACATGGCCCTGGAGTGCCGGAGAGGGGACTGCTGGGGTCTCGGGCAGTCCCCCCCAACCGCGATCATCATGGATCGCCAGTCCAGGTAAGTACTAGGTACGTCCGAGATTGTTAACAACCATTTTTTGTCTGATGTACATAGTACGCCTGCGGTCGGCAAGGGGTTAAAGCACTTTAACAAATATAGCTGTTAATTTTTTAGTTGTTAATTGTTTGGAGGATAGAAATCCTTTTTTTTTGGGTACTGCTGAGTCAGGAAAAATACTCTTTGGGTCATTGGGCCTGGGTCATTGATTCTAATGTGAGACTAGCTTTATGCTTTATATAGCAGCTAATACTGCCAGGAGCACTAGAGAGATGTGAGTAAGAGGTAGGAGATTGCCACTTGCCTGGCATGTTGTCTTTCATATTAACGTGAGATTATTTTATCAATGTACAGTTGTTAGAAGTTATTGTTTTATTTATTGTCGAATGCTTATTGAAATAAATCAATAATATATACAGGACTCAATGAAGATGGAAATACACATTGCACATCAAAGAAATAAAATAAAAAATAAAATAAAAATGTTCAATTTCTCTTTAAATGTGGATGTATCAGCTAGTCAGTTCATTACCTCCTATCATATAAGGGAGGTAGAGTCCACAGGCTGCTGAAATAATGATTTAGTATAGGTTTCTGGACTGATAGAGTACAGAACCAATATACACAATGTTATTGTAGAATCCCACAAAGGGTTAAAGTCTTGATGGTAAAGTCTATTATAAAGTGCAGCAGACAGAGTACTATTTCAAAATGTATTAGTACATGTAAACTGTCGACAAAAAGCACATAAATATATAAAAGACTAATAAGTAAAACAGTCCCAAATAAGAGTAGCAAATACAAATAGCAATAGTACCAGGTATTGCAGATTTGGAGTCCAAAGATGTTAAAATCACTCTCTTGCCGGCCAGACAAGTGAATTAGGACCTCCTCGTGCTGGAATAACAATGGATTCTGGCCGTGTGCGTTCCACTGCGGCTCTGGATGCGTTTCAAAAGTGCTTGCTCTCAGGAACCGATGGGTACCTATGTGAAGATGCTGCCTTACGCATTTCGTGATCACAGATCACTTCATCAGAGGATGGCATCTTAGAACTTCAATCTGTTTTATACTCGTTTAGTCTGTTCTTGTTAATGTTAAATTAACCCTTTCTATACTTATACATAATGATTCAGTATAGAAGTCATGTTTAACAGAATTAATAAAATGCAACTCGCAATTGATTCTTAATTAAAAATGTATTCAGGCATAGAGTTCATAATATATAAAAAACAATTAAAAACCATTACCTTATAAATATTAATAAACATTAATAAACAAGTGAAAAATCTTGTGCATCGTTCTATTACATATAAAATTAATGCAAAATAACAATCATATAATAAATAATAAATAGTTCTATTTTGCAGGTGCATTTATAGAAAAGATACTTGCAGCGATTAATAACTTAGAGAGGATAGAAGGAATTACACAGGGAAATAGACATATTGAAGTTTATCTATGTTACAAAGTGATAGATACTTTTATGTTACAAAATGATAGATACTTATTAATGGATACTTTTTAACCAAAGGAAAAATAACATAATGACCGTTCTGAGAAAACTACATTTAAAGATCATGTATTCGGGTTTTTCACGGATTAAGTATATACCGGATTTTATGATGATAAAAATTATAATAATAAAATACGAAATAACAGTTGTAAAAATACTATTATAAAAATACTATTATAAAATATATATGCCAATATATATATACTAAAACTGATGACTTGATAGGATGTATAACAAATATATAATATTACAATTTAGTGTAATTTAAAATTGATCAAATTGATATCAAATCTTCCTTTAAAAAAACCCACACCTGGGGAATTGGAGAGAAAAAATACAATGTTAGAAGTTCATACATATTATTCCACAATAATGAACATTTACAATGAAAATGGCCAAATATAAAGGTTTTTAAATCAATAGATAAATGGTGTATGAAGGAGTCATTATGATCTCCCTAAGTTCTTTGAGACCCTTATACTCGAATTATCAATGAATTAAATGTATACCCAATATATAAGACTAAAAAGAATCTAAAAGCTGACATTCAATATCTAAACAGGGGCTGATAACTTAAATTGAATGTATAGTCTTAAACCTGTTTAG